TGCGGCCGCCGTCTGGGAGCGTCGCTCTGCCGTCACCGTCGGCCTTGCGTCATCTCTGACGTTATCGTTGGTCGCCGCCGACAGACGAGCCTGCTGACGCAGCTGCCCGCCGCCGAGCGCACCAAGGAGCGTCTGGCCGAGGTGCTGGACGAGCGGCAGCTGGCCTTCCTGTGCCCGCTGCTGCCGCTACCGGCGCAGCTGGTGCGCCAGCTGGCCGCCGACCCATCCGAGGCCGCCTTCTACAAGTGGATCCGCGCTAACGTGCCGGCCGCGCTCCACCAGGAACGCGACTTCGTCGGCGCCCTCTTCAGCAGCGTCATCCGCTTTATCACCGAGGTGAGTTCGACGGGGGCACTATGTGGTGACGTTTCGGTGATCCGCCGCGCGCCTGGTCTCATATTTAGGTGCTACCATTGTCACCAGCTGTGAGTTAATGCGTTTATCATGGGACGGGATTGCGGGATCAGATACCGGGATTATGGGATGAGATGCGAATGATGCCTTATTTCAGAATGTGAGTCGAAATAAGCGAGGCCTCGACAAAACCACAGCACACGGTCCGATCACCAAGTGATTTCTGAACGCTGCCCGCGGTCGTCGATGCAGCGTCCGACTGACGTGCATTGCCCTGCCCTGTGCTGATCGGTGTATGCATCTGTCCGTGCGTGCAGCAAACGACGCTGGCCGCCGACGTGGACCGCACCCAGATGCCGGACAAGGCGCTGCAGGAGCGCGAGCGCGAGCTGCTGCAGCGCTTCCGCCAGGTGCTGCAGGCCTTCACGCACGAGCACGTGCAGCTGCAAGTCACGGCCACCTATGCCCTGCAGGTGCGGCACCCGCGTGTGTCTGGCAGGGACGGCGCTGTGCGGGCGAGAACGTTGTGGAGAGGGATAGTACGCGACCTAGTGGCCGGTGGTATGTTAGTCGGGCGCCCAGGGTCTGCCAGTTGACTTGTTTGGGTGCGCTGCTGTCATGTCCTATACGTGAGTCCGGTCTGGACGGGCGGTGGAGCGTCGCTGCTGGGTGAGATCGGCAGCGGTCTGGACACACATCTTGAGCGCGGTGCTGCGCTTCCTGTCCACAGGTGTACTGCTACCAGCACCAGTTCCCCAAGGGCATGCTGCTGCGCTGGTTCAACCTGCTCTACGACCTGGAGATCGTCGAGGAGGAGGCGTTCCTGCGCTGGAAGGAGGACGTCAACGACGAGTATCCCGGCAAGGGCAAGGCGCTGTTCCAGGTGCGGTGCGGGGCGGCTTGGGACGCACCGGGTGCGGACGGGCGGCGACCGTGACGTGGTTACGGAGGCGGAGCGCCCGACCCGGCGGCATAGGGCCCCGATAGCCGCGGCAGAAGGCGCCGGCTGCTGCCACGACGGGGGTGGAGGGAGGGGGTTCAGGGAGCGTCGCTATTCAGATCTCGGTGGGTTTTGTGTGATCGTCGTTCGATTTATTGGTGTCCAGTCGATCCCCAAGGTGTATGTTAGACCCTCATGTCTCGTTAAAGGCGTTGTACGACTCATTCATGGGATGTTCCATGGGATTCGCAGTCTGTTGTCGGGCAGGCAACAGCTGACACTTATCACACGTCTGGACCCCGTCCGTCGGCCTGCGCGCGTCTCGCTGCTGCCAACGTCGACGGTTGCTGACGCTGATCTCTCCGCCCCGCCTCCAGGTGAACCAGTGGCTGACCTGGCTGGAGGAGGCCGAGTCGGACGAGGGCGACGAAGATGACGACTGAAGACCGCCCTGACGCGAGCCGGTCTCGCCGCGTCCGGAGACGCCCCTCGCTCTTCTGTTCCGCGCGCGTCTCCGTGTTAGGTTCAGCGCGGCGCTGATCGGCGCTGCGGGGACTTCTGACCCGGTGTGCGGCCGAGCGGAGCAGGCCACCGGTGGTCCCTTCCTCGTGGCGGCGCCGGAAGCTTTTATCTGGGTTTTACCGGGCGGTCGCCAGGCAGCACCTCTTCCCCTTTAGGCATTTGTCGGTATCACCAGTGCACGCTCTGCCGGCTTTCGCACGTTGTTTTACCAGTTACTGAAACTTCTTTTCCGTACGAGGGATGTTGGCACTACTAAATAAACTACGCTCTGATGGACGTGCGGTTTGGACCACGGACGACGCAACCACCACCGACCACGGCCGCGCGTACGTTTCGCCGGCGGTTCGCGGAATGAAATGCAGATAGCAACAGCTGGGCCTCGGATTTTGGAGCCTCGGCCAGCCGGGACAGAGGGCGCCTGCTGACAGGACATCTGCGACGCTTCTGGTTCCGAGCAGCGATAGCGCCTCGTGGGCTCGTACGGCGTGGGCGATAGGGCCGTCCTATCCGGTCCCGGGGTCACCGAGCGGTGCGGCATCCGGTCAGATGTGCTCGCCCATGCTGCGTGGGTTGGGCGCGACGGTGCTCGTCACTGTCGCATGCGAGAACGGCGGAATCGCGGCGCCCGAAACGACATATTTTTATTTCGCGGCGTGGAATGTTTAGCGCGATGTTGAGGGGTCAGCAGCGGCGCGAGCAGCGCCGTTTTAGCATCCTCGCGTTGCTCTTGCTGCTGTTATTGAGCAGCGGAAGGTGGAACGCCCATCAACTCGCATCAATTAGGCAACCGACGCCGCGCGTGTTTCGTACTGCGGAGAAACCCGGAGATCCCTGAAAGTTCAATAAGTAAGCGCTAGTGACTACTACGTTCGCAGGAGCTCGCCTCCCAGGGTGTTGCGCCATACGGCGGGGGAAACGTGTACGTATGAACGTCGGCACGTCCTTCAGATCAGCCAGCGCTGGGACCCATATCCAGGCTCCGGGCGGCCACCTAGCACGGCTCCGGTGTGCGTGAGACTTGCGGTTCCTGCGCTTCCGGGTGGGAGCTCTCATCTTCACGTCTGTGTGGCGCTGCCATGCGTGCTGGGCAGGCCACCTCGCAGAACTCGCTGTGAGGAACTATTGCGTCGCATCTGCCGCGCCCGCAGACTACCGTGCACAGGCTGCGCTCGCGGGACCGTTCCAGTTGCACTGGGGTTGCACCGAGCACAGCAGAACAAAGAGGCATATTGTAGGCGTACAGACGCCTGATTCGATGAGTCTGCAGCCCAGATTCCGCCCAGATATCATAAGCGCGTCGGTAGGCTTGTGATGCAGGCAGTCGACTATAGCTTGGATTGCGTAATTTGTGTCCCATCTGTATGGTCCACATAGCTAAAAGTGTCATCGGCATTCCGCTGGAATGATCGCCGCGCAGAGGGGTAAGGTGCACTGTCCATCGCCTCCGAAGGCCGTCTATGTATTACGCTACGCATTTCTGGCCATTTCTCTACTCCCTCCCCTGATTACGTGCTGTTTGCGCTGACGACTCCCCTCCCTCCCCATGGTTACGCTGTGCCAAGTGTAATGTCCCAAAAAAGGTCACGTCCGTTCGGCCCCTTATTGAGCGCGAGTTGTCAGGGGTATGAAGAGATGCAAACTTAACATGGACGCGTTGTTTGCCATGGCAAGGATCCAACGGTTTGAAAAGCATATTAAAAAGACTAGCATGATTCGCAACCACACCCGAGCGTAAAGTTACGCTGTCCAACTTAGGACCCTGCCCTCTCATTACGTTTCGGTTACGCTTTATCAACCTCTCCCCTGCATCTGTAACGTAATGTATGAACAGCCTGTTGTACGATTTCTCCATTGCGCGGCGCGTGAACCATCCCCGGCATTGGATATGCCAAGGAACGACAGACAAGGCGGCGGGAAGAGCAGAATGGGTACAGCCACATTTACCCAAGGAACGACAGACAAGGCGGCGGGAAGAGCAGAATGGGTACAGCCACATTTACCCAAGGGATGACAGATATGGCGGCGAGGAGAGCAGAAGGGGCACAGCCACATTTACCCAAATATAGCAAAATTTAACTCTAAGATATTGCAGGGAAAAGAAACGCTAAGGGCTATGTAGCCAGTTGTGCAGTCGACTGGGCTCACCTTTTCCCGAGCATTTGCAGATGGTGGTGCGGAGAGGATCGCTCGGCACGAGGCGCAGGCGGCAGGAATCGCCAGCAGCAGGCGCCGAAGGCTGGCGGCCCCGCGCACTCGTTGAGTAGAGTGTTACTATACGAGTGTCCGCTCTGGGCGCTCTGTACGGTAGCCTCCCGAGATGGGCTAAAGAGGGCAGCACCCGTTGTGAGGTGGGTTATCCTGGAGCTCGAGTGCATGCGTGCTTTGTCGTCGTCTTATGTTGGATAAATTACAGTGCCATGAACAGCATTTAACTGCAGTTATTCATGTTCCTACAATCACATTCGAACGCCAATTTTTTCAGGCAGGTATTGCTGGGTTTCACTAATCAACGTATTTTGCCGCGGCTGCAATACGCTAAGTGTGTTATAGACTCAGTGCTTGATCCCACCGGTCACTGTCGTATTTTGTGAACAGTAATAAACTAAGCATCAGCACATCTTTTCCTCCCTTCGTATGAAGCACCGAGACCGTTTGACGGTGAACGCGGATCTCCACCCACTCCTCGCCGCGAATCCACGCTGCAGCCGGGGCAGCCCTGGCGGGCGCATCCTCGCTGGAGACCCGACTCACCACCGAGTTGCTGGTAGGAAGACGGAGGCGCTACGGGCGCAACATTGGCAAGATTGGCAAGTTGTTTCCGCCCACTCTGCTGAGATTCTGTCGAGGCAAGCGTGAGCTGCTGCGGCGTTTTGTCTGTCATCCGACACATGAACCGCCGAGCTCTCACACATGTCACTCATCTGTCTGTATCATCAACATGCCTGGAGTAACAGCGTCCCCACAGCGCCTCTACCGCCGTTTTCCGGACTCAAAACAACACCGTCGACCCTCCAGTCGCCGTGACGTCACATCCCGCGTAGACCAGCGTCCTGTGGCGTAATGCCGGACCGGCAGCGTATCTCCGACCCGTCCTGCCGGACCGCAGGCGGAGGGGGAGGGGGGGGGGGGGGGTCTCCGGCCACCGCGGGCAGTAAGGGACGCTCGCTTCCAGCGTCACTCTGGCGATCATGTCCGGGCGGCGAGGTCTGGCGTGGAGCGCTGCTGCCGTCGTCCTGCTGGTAGCCGGCACAGCGGCGCGGTACGAGGCGAACAAGGCGGGCAACGACCCCCAAGAGCGCTGGCGGAATGAGCTGCCGCCATTTGAACGTGTCAACAGTGCCGACAAGCAGGTTCATTATGCACGGGTGAGTACGTTGGGTATGCTGCACGATTGGTCTCTGCATGTCAGGTCAGAGTCCACGCACCCATTCATCCATTCAAGGAACCCAGTGCTCGAAAAAACTTTTGTCTCACGTGCCAAGCCACAGTCGGCTCTGCACGTGTTTTGAATGTTTATATCCGATCAGGCGATCGTTGCGTTCAGATGTTAGACTGGCTTTCCGTTGTGCTAATACGCTACATTGCGTGAAATGCTGCGTCACAGGTGGCAAGACGCATGCCTAAGCCGTTTGCCATGATATCGTGAGCTTAACCATGCGACGTTTCTTTCTTGGGTGCCATGTCTTCCTTAATAAGCGCGGGACAGAAATCTCGAAAAACGTCGCACGTCCATGGCACCAGTCCATAGAGAGACTAAAACGGTTCAGTGTCACAGTGCGCTCGCTGGGGCGACGAACAGCCGCCGAGCATGCGCACCCGTGAACGGACTGACGATGAGCCGTCGCGCTCCACCCTCCGACCCACGTCCGTTCGCCTCCGACCCCCGCCTTTGTCTCGCCACGCACAGCAGATGGCTATCGCGGCTGGTCTGGCGGGGTGGCGTCGGCTATGAACGAGCCGGCGTACAAAAACAAACGGCCGTCCGCTTGGTGGCGACGAGAGCCGCTTGTCTGTGAAAGGGATCCGTCCATACATTACGTCGCGCGTGCAGAGGGAGGGGGTTTCGATGGAACGGACCGAACGTGACGGCGGCGTGACAAGGGAGAGAGGGATGTTTTTGTGCAGCGTAGCGTCACATGCAGGTGTGGCTACACATCAAGCTTAAATGTAAAAGGACTTAAAACCTTCGACTGGAACTTATGACAAAAAAGAACGCCGGTTATTTGCTTTGCAGCTCTAGATGAACTATGCATAACTCGCTTGTGTTATTTTTATTTTTGATTGTATTGTATAGCATTGTGTTTCTATTCGCATCAGCAAACTATCAACGCCGTTTGACGCCTGCTGCAGCCCCAGCGTGTGACGCTCGTGACCTTCTCCAACTGCGGCACGGACCATGACCCGATCCAACTGCGGTCACTCGACGTGCCTGACGTCATCAACCTGAAGTCGACCTTTAACCTCAGCGCCGATGTCGTGCTGACCGCGCAGGTCCAGTCGCCCATCAAGGTAGGCGGCTGGGTGATAGTGGGGACTCTGGGAGGTATGTTATCTGCTGGGGTGTTACAGCCCAAAACTCATCGACCTCACCGATCAGGTCGCCTGAGTGCACCGACGAGCGACTTGTGGCATGCCTTCCCCCCGCCCCACCCACCCGCACACCTAATTTTGCCAAGGAGTTTTTTATCCCGGCATCGGCCGAAGAATGCAGGGCCTTCACTTATTATCAGTCAGGTCCCCGATGACGGCTCATGCGGCTTTGGTGGTGTTGGTGAATGAACTTTCCCGGTCTTCCTCCCCGATCACTGTTTCTGAGGCGATGGTCGCACATACCCTCGGTGCCCGCTGTATCTGATCCCGGTTTGTCGTCCTCGGTCCATTCTACCCTACGATTTGGTCCCGGTGTGAACTTTGCTGTCTTGGTCCCGGTATCTGGTCACAGGTTTTGTTCCCATTTCATGGTCGGGGATCTCAGGCTCCTCATCCTTGGCACCGGTCCCAGGTTTCTCGTCACTGGCACCGGTCCCAGGTTCCCGTCACTGGCAACGATCCCAGGTTCACCGTCACTGGCAACGGTCCCAGGTTCCCGCCACCGGCAACGGTCCCACGTTTCCCGTCGCTGGCACCGGTCCCAGGTTCCTGCCGCCCCTGGTGCCGGGGTCGCCGGTCTGCAGTCTCCATCCGTGGTCCTCAGAGCCTCCTCCGGACCTATTCCGCTGTGGCCACCGGTCGCCTTCCTACTGCGCAGTGATGGCAGCCGTACTGCAGTCACCGGAGAGCCAGAAAAAGGTCCCCGTTCCTGTGGTCCTCTCGCCCGACCCCGGTTCCAACACTTCTGGACGCCCGCGCATCGTCACGAAGCGGGCTCACTCTATGCTTGGTTTGCTCCGGTGTCTGATAATGGAGAGAACCAAGCTGAACCAGGCTGTCGGACCGTTCGTCTGTATGAGGATGGATCGTGCTCCGTTTCCAGGTGACGATGAAGGTGCAGCGCCACGTGCTGTTCTGGTGGGTGACGATACCCTGCCTAGAGGGGGCGATCGGCAGCTGCTCCTTCAAAGATGCCTGCCAGCTCATACCGACTCCCACCAACGGCACCTGTCCGCCCTTCTTCGTCGAGAATCACATACCGTGCCTGTGCCCGGTGGGCCCGGTAAGAACTCAGCTGAGCTCATCGGCTCCTGGTGTTGCGTTCTAAACACGCCGTCACCTTCAAAAGCTTGGTCATACACATGCTTCTCTCTGCATAAGCGCGAGCTTGCCGTCCTTGCCCCACCAATGGCTTCCAAATGGTGTCCGGTGGGCTGATAGCTTTCAGCTTTGTGACGTGCAAGTCGTCCTTGAAATTTGCGTTCCGGCTTAAAGGAAATGCTTCATATTCGAATATATTGAAGCATCAATCAGATGTGACAGAACAAGCTCTTTTATAGCCACTCGTACGCTTTTAAGTGGAAAAGCCTGCTCTGGACAACACAATTTTCTGTTAAAAAATATGCTCCTCAATAAGTCATCGTTTGATCGCGACAGCAACACCACAAGATTAATTGAAAGCCATTCGACAGCCGTTGTATCTGGAAATCGTGCTCACGAAGGCCAGATATGGACGACTCGACACTTATGCTTTCATTGGCCTTGATCGCCGCATGACTAATGGGATGGGATGATCTAAATGACGTCATTTTTGCGTTATAGATGCCTGGGTGACTTTGAAATAGTCCGCCCGAAATGGTTTGCACATCTTCGGAGGCGTATATCTCAGGAACTAGAGGGGGTTAGGTCGTAAGAAGGGCAGAACTGTGAACTGTGCCGAATGATCTTCAAAATGGCTAGTTCGGTTCAAAACAGCATACAAATACGAATCACCCACTTTAAGTGCCAACTATGGATCACTCAGTCAAAAAAGGTTGTTCGTTTGCCGTTGGAAGGCTTGGCACCTGGCCAAAAAGTGATTATTTCGACGGAAGTGCATGTTTTGTAGAAAACATTTTCAAAATTTTACATACGGATTTCCATCAACGTCTTGCACTTAAATATTAATATCCCCAGCTCATGCAAAGCCAACTAACTTCCAACGGAGGGGAGCGCACGGAGCCCCAAACCCAAAGACCATATTCCATACAGCCAAAACCTAGCACCAACAGTCGAAGCCTCATATAAATAATCGTTACCTTGACAACTTTCCCAGATTTTGTTCAAAAGGATGCACATCACTCATGCCAGGACCCAGTCCACAGATGCTGAACACCTAGATAGCAAAGGACGCTAAGTCCGTCCCGTCGGGTGTCCCACATGCGCGTGTCGGCATGCGATGGATGAGTACCGTTCAGCTACATAGTGACTTGCGCCTCATGCTGACGGCACGCCCCGTTTCCCGAAGGCCGCGTCCGGTCTCACCCGCGCCGGGCAGCGTCGCGTGGCGGAGGGGCCATGATCCCGCCCCCCCCCCCCTTCCGCGCGGCGGACCATACTTGGAGACCGCCCGCTCCGCTGCGTGTCTCAGTGATCGGCACAGCCGTCACTGGAAATGAAGATTCACAGCTTTTGGTGCTTGAAATCCTCAGGTAGATGGATTCGGACTCGAGATTACAAAAGATTCGAATAGATTCAATTACTGGCATTGAAGTATTGAACGAATGCCTCTTTCTATGGAAAGCACCTTGGGTAACTCTGCTTGATACCCTGCCGATATAGGCGTGATGAATTTGGTTTACGTGAATAAAATGTAAATCCAGGTCATATGTAATCCATTAAATGGAAAATTTGTAAGATAACCCTCAGAATTCGGTTTGATTTCTGGCGACAGGCTCCAATCCTCCCTTTAAATATTCGGGACTCGCAAGATTCGAATCCATTCGAACCCTGGCAATCCGAACCCCCACCTCCACTCTCCACCCACTGCATGCCCATGTCCGGCCGGTGTGCCCGCAGGGTGAGTACCGCCTAGACAACGTGCTGGTGGACCTGGCGGCCGTGCACATTCCGGAGGAGCTAGCGGCCGGCGTCTACTACGCCCGTGTCCGGATCGAGCACGGCGCCGGCCTGCTCGGCTGTTTCGCGATCCAACTGAGGCTGGAGTGAACCCCGGCGCCGGCCTGCTCGGCTGCTTCGCGATCCAACTGAGGCTGGAGTGAACCCCGGCGCCGGCCTGTTTGGCTGCTTCGCGATCCAACTGAGGCTGAGTGAGCCTCGGCGCCGGCCTGCTCGGCTGCTTCGTGATCCAACTGAGGCTGGGGTGAGCCCCGGCGCCGGCCTGCTCGGCTGCTCCGCGATCCAACTGAGGCTAGAGTGAGCCCCGGCGCCGGCCTGCTCGGCTGCTTCGCGATCCAACTGAGCCTCCCGGCACCGGTCCCGGTCGTCCCCGGTCCGCGGGCGGCGGGCGGCGGGCGGAGCCGCGCGCACTCCGGCCGCCTGGGCGCTGTGCTGGTCCCGGCCGCCCCTGGTCGGCGGGTGGTGCCGCGCGCATTCCCGGCCGCCTGGACACTACCCACCGGCAAGGTGTGAGGGGACTGAAGATGGATGGCAGGATGTGTTTGGCTTGTGTTGTAAATGTTTTGGAGTACGTTGTCGTAAACAACATTCCATGACGCTACTATTTGAGGAGGAAAATACACTACCGTGAGCATTGCTATCACAATATATTTCATCGTGGTGATATTGTTGGTTTATGTATCTATCCCATCACGGTGCATGGCGTGCTGACGGCATGTCACCACTGGCAATTGCTGTCACGAGCTAGAATGGAGCGAAGCTGGCCCGTATTGTGGCTCATTGCAGAGTAGGCACCACTGGTTAAGCAGATCTGTCTTCGGCACGAGCGCACAGACCTGATATGAGGACAAAAGGCGGTGAACTATGAGAGACTGGAGCTGCCACACCACAGTTGGCAGCGCGACTTGCAGAGTAACCAATACAAGTATTTTTCTGGTTTTCGTTTTTCAAAAACTTGAAAACGATGGCCTTCAGAGGTAAGCGAAATTTATGGTCAAACCGGAGCCCTGCGGTTTCCTCAAACCTCCAGGGGTCATCGGAGTACATTACCCCTTAATCAGGACATCTACGATGCTGCTCAAATTCATGACACCAGATGGGGTCGACAAGTTGATTACGACAGCGCATGTGCTTTTCCCCCATTATGACTATGATCTCTGGATACCATCAAGGTTTAAGGTCTTTGAAACCGGACTACACGATTTTGCTTGAGCTCATGAAACGTGATGTATAGCCCGGGGGCAGGTAACTATGCTTTTTATCAGGAGGGAGGGGTATTAACAAATGAAAAGCTTCGTCATATTTCAGCCAGTGCATCGCGGAAGTCTTCCTTACGAGGGCGAATGCTTTTTTCATGCCAGCAGGCACGTTTCCAGGGGTTGTCTACGCGGTAGGGACGTTAAGATCCGCCGTTCAGAATTATTAGAAATTTGTATACAGTAGTTATCTACCACATCTACAATTTATATTACATTATTATGACATCCAGCACATTCAGAACGCCAGTGCACCACCACCGCCCCAACAGGACCGTTTCCAGCATAGGAACCTCACGCGCCCAGGGGCGGCGACACCGTGGGGACGTAAGGCACGCCCCTCCCCCAGCTCTCAGGACGTGGGGAACCGTCGTACACAACCGCAGAGACACTCGACATTGTCGAACGCGTGTGCAGGCGTTGTGGTAAAGTGAGTAAGAGCACACATTCTCGCACACAACGTTCAAGGTGCTTGTGTAAACGTTTTCACACACTGGTGGAGCGCTCGCGTACCCATTCTACGGTTAACGTGCGGGCGATCGGAACGTTACACGGGCGCCGTCCTTTGTGTATGGCGCGGGCCCGGCTGTGCATGCGCCGAGACCGGCCGCGATGAGGAAAGCCTTGAGCGTTGAACTCTGAGCGTTGAGGAAGCTCCGAATCAGGTGTTCCAGGCGCTATAGCTGGGTGGTGCGCATGCGCAGTGCAAAAGGTCGTTTCATTCCGGCGCAATCCCAAAGTAGGCCGTGGGGCTGGGCTATTCGGGGCACTACGCATCATGATCTTTCTGGGGTAGATTCTGGAGGACTGGGGACAGGGCCAGTGAGCTGGGGCGGCAGTGCACCAGGGCCAGCGAACTGGGGCGACAGTGCACCAGGGCCAGCGAGCTGGGGCGAGTCAGACCGGTTCGGTTGAGGAGCCAAGTCGACTCGCTGAGCGCCGAGAAAGAACGTTCGGCTGTCTATGTCGTGAGGGGCTGACACACATCAAAGTCCAGGAGCCTCCAGATACCGCGGACTCTCTCCGGGTTAAATCGCTCGAATGTGGCGGCGAAAGGGGCGACATTTCGCTGTCCAGCCGGGACCACATTTGCTGCCAGAGGAGCAGCTCTGCCTCTGCTTGAGAGAGGCTCAGGTCCGGCCAGTGTGGTTCATACTCTCACGGGCTGTGGCTCATGGACCCCCGTAGGCGTCCGTGAGCCACACGTCGACGGAGCCCGCGAAAGTTTGGGTGACGTGACTTCTCATCTGGCTCGGAGACCTGACCTGACCTGAGACCTGACCTAGAAACTGGATCTGTCGCGTCCAGCAGCTCCAGGAAGCTACGCACCGTCGTGACGATTGCTCCATCGCGCTTCACGGAGGGTGGTCAGTTTTTGCCACTCGGTATCTGAAGTGGCGTGTCACGCTGCCGCCCCGAACAGGACTTTGGGTTTGGCGTTTAGAAACGGCACCGTGTCTCGCAACGTCGCCTACATGTTCCGGGTGACGGGATGCTTTGAAGCCGCGTCAAGAGCCAGGTTGAGCTCCAGTAAACAATGGGAGCTCCAGTGGACGCTGTTCGCCCGGAGACACCGGGTCTTCACGTAAGCCGCTACTCCACGGATGTCTGAACTGATCATGACCGCCCCATCAGAATTTTGTCCCATGCAGAGCGCGATGTCAAGATCCAACTGCTCATCTGCTTTCAGATTACCCTGTCTCACCTTTCACCTGGCAGTTCGGGTATGTGTGACACCGCCTTCGCAGCGGCTCAGCGGACGCTGCCAAGCCCGTCTCATGGGCGATCCACCCAGGATAAACGCAATCGCCAACGACGTCGCGTCAGCCATTGCAAAGTGTGTCGGGCAATCATCCAGAGGAAATGCCGACTGTAGTTGCAACGTATCGCCCTTGGTGCGCCGCGACGAGTTGTTGCGGCAATGAAAACTGCGACAAGTGCGCCTGTGACGCAATATCAGGCTATGTTGAGTTCATGCACGGCCGCTGTCTCGAAACGTCCATGCCATGCTTAGCGCCTTTTCAGCTGCCAGGAAAATGCAGACTAAGTCCTTTCACGATGCGCCGTTAAAACGCATCGATTCTTTTTTTCTCGCAAACGCATTTCTGTCTCACCGCTTGGCCTGTAAAAATCGATAAGTTAGATCATTCAAACACGTTGCATGGCAAAACAATGCGTCACAAGCAAACGGTTAAACAATACTTTCTGTGGAGTATCACATGGTGCATCCTCTGGAACAACAAAGTGACGCATTTTTTAAAAAGTAAGGGTGTAAAATGGAGAGGGATATGAGAGCCACGCCATGCTTGACGTCACGTTACATTTTCGCCTTAAATTGTTCCGGTGGGCTTAAATTTTGCTATCGGATGTTGGAGTGAGGGTTCATGCAACAAGCACCGCTTAGCTGGGGGTCTGATCCCGGAAATCCATCCAAACAAAAGGTTCGGACTAAATGCCTCAAAAATCACGAAAAGTGGTTGGCTCCAGTCCCGTTTTCGGTGTAGCAGTGCTAAGCAGTTGTCCTAGAATGCAGTCGCGGTCCCTTGACGGCAAGCAGGTACTTCCTATTTGAACAGTGGGCCACACGCCATTATCAAGGTCCTATGTTATGACCTGTTCGGGTGTACTTCATGGTTTAGGGGCCCTCCGCATTGTGTTGTGGGATTTATTATTTAAATGGAGGACCCTACGCTTTTGCTGGGACCCACATCTGCTAACTTCTCGCGTGCTTTCGGTCATTCCCGGGCCCTCCATACTACGTCTGCGATGATTCTCGTTTCAGTGGATGACCCTATGCTCTTGTTGGGGCTCAATCTATTAAGCTGCTTGGGCTAGTGGTGAATCCAGCGGGGGGAGGGGAAACGGAACCACGCCCCTTGCACCCCAAGAGGACAAATAGGCTCAGAAGGGGTCTCATGTCCGGGCGAACGGACGCAGTTTTCGGACACAAAACACAACACAATTGGACGTCTACGGGTCTCCAGAGGACCAAGGACAGTCACAGGCGAAACTGAATAGCCCGTCAACAGAGAAAGCTAATTCTTTGCTGATTGGCCGGGTGGTGATTGGAAACATTTTGAGGCTCATTACGCTATCCAGAGGCGTTACGCTGCTGCCGGGCCCTATATCTCCACTTGCCGAGTTAGTCCGATTGCTAAGGAGCCTTCCATGCTGTCCTTGATCTCTTTGCATTTTCTCGTAGGGCCCTATGCTGCTATTGGGGTGCTGTCCGCCAACATGCCTAGGCACTCTTGATCGATCAGCGGCTCTTCACAGATTCTTCCCATGCATCCGAAAGGCTCTATGCGCCTTTGTCGGGCCCCATATACCGCGGTACACTCCGTTGCTCAGGGGCCCTTCATATCAGTCCCCGTTCTTTCCACTTGCTGCTCTTGTTGGGGCCCATATAAGGCAGGGCATCGAGCCACTTAATTTAGTGACGCTCTACATTGATCTAGAGTTATTTTCCTTCGGTAATGTTTGCGGAGGACCCTTTGCTCATATCGGGGCCCTTTCTGTTGATCTGCTCGGACACTCTTGATCGCAAAGCGGCATTTCTTCACGCGCACTGGTCTTAGGTAATTTCCTTTGCTTAAAGGGCCCTGTGCTCTGGCCGAGGCCTTTTATGTCAGCCTGCCGGGGCACTCCCGACCGTTCAACGGACCACCACGTTGGTCTTGGGTTCTTCTCGCTTGTTCTGAGGACCCTTCCCTTGCTGACGGGGGCCTCTTTGTTGCTGGCCTACCACGATACCCATGGTCGCTCACGTTCCGTCCATGCTGACCTTGGTGCATTAGCCTAAGAACGGCAGTCGGATATTCGCCGATTAATTTTCACGCCCAATTGTTAAACATAATTTCAGGTGTAACCGACCTCGTATGTGTAATTACCGTTGGTTATTGAATTTGTGACACTTCTTCCATTTGTTCATCACGTTCTTAGTGTATTTTAAATTCCATGATATTTTGCACTCCTCATAACAAACAAAGCAAACACTTTTCAGTGGTCACCAGCCATCAACTGATGACATCGACCAACCGGCTAGCTGTAAGTAAGCTTTGAATCAAGTTTGTGCTTGATTTCAATGGAATTTAGCAGCCAAGTTTAGGGTATTTTGCCATGTTTTTCGGAACAACCTAGCCTTTAAGTGACATAATTTACCATGATATGGGGAATGAATAAGCTCCATGTATGTACATACGCAACACACTTATTTGTCTAGGGCTGCGGACAGATAGATGTGTTCCCGTTAACAAAATAACATATTAAGAAGCCTAAAATGTAGTGGCCGGAATGCGGCAATTTTTTTTTTGGGGGGGGACACTAACTGTAGGGAGCCCATAGTGTTGCGTGCTCCCGCCCGTTGACGAAATCCTGGATCCGCCCCTGGCGAGCTCGGCGAGCTCTCGAATATATGAATGCGCTACAATGCATCATGCGATTTAGTCTCTCTTATTGTTAAGACCCGCGTGTGTGTTTGTGTGCGTGCGTGCGTGTGCGTGTGTATGTGTGTGTGTAGGTGTATGCATACATGCGTGTGTGCGTGCGTACGTGCGTGCGTGTGTACATGCGTGCTTGTGTGCGTGCTTGTGTGCGTGCGTGCGTGCGTACGTATTTAACAAAAACACAAAAATTCAGTATTCTTAGATAAATTGGTTGATCCCTCTTAACATAATTATGGATTCATTCCTGTCAACAGGGTAGTCAAGACTTGGCAGTCAGGCACAGAAACTGTTGTAATCAAAGCTTCCATGCATCTGAAACCAAACACCAGCAAGCGTGGTTGCTCAGAGGAGTTGTACGCCCAAGTGCCGAATCCCGCTACATTTTTTTTCATGTTAGTCCTCACATGCATGAAACACGTAAGCTGTTGAGCGCATTTGCGGGGGACATTGCTCACATAGATAAGACAGCATTAGTAGACTTATTTCTCGGAGAAAAACCGGGACAATGGAGAAATAGATCTGTTGATATTTCGGCAGCATGTCTTTGCCAAAACGAATAGCAGAATTGAATTCTGCTTGAATTCTCCTCAGAAGACAATTCTGAAGTGGGTTCTCCTGGTTTTTCCCCGAAGAATACGGCTACTACTACTGTCTTATCTTTGTTACATGCCCGATTACCATCAAATTCCTTGACCTATTTAACGTCTCATACATTTTTGATGACGGTGATGTTTTACCGCGAATACAGTATTTACATAATAGCGTACATGAGCTCACACTGAACAGCATTCGTTGTGTGAACATGAGCCGCGATGACCCGCGCGGCCCGCTCCGTCATCCGACCCCATCTGAGGGGCCGCAACCACCAGATGTGCCACCAGCCACCAGCCAGAGGCCATACCAGCCAGCGGCAGATGGCGAGCTTCCCAACGACTCGAACCCACCCACCCCATCGTGGGTTGGTTAGGAGGAAGGCGACCCAACCAAAGTGAGCAGCGGGGTACAATGTTGGAAGCGAAAGAAAGGGTTGGGCATGGCGTGTAAAGTACACATGCCTTCTTAGCTGCACCGTATACGTATCGAAAGGATTGTCCTTTCACATATGCTGTTGGCCGAAACGGTTGCCTGGGAGGATCTGGGCTGGCGGGGGACGAACTGCGTGAATAGCAGTGAATTGCTGGCTGGGTTGGTAAAAGGTGACTGGGGGCTAGTTCTCTTTCCCGGAAGCTCTCCTTCTTGCAGTTCGAACAGCGAGGACCACCAAATTCTTATAGCGCCTGTGCTGCTCGGTGGTTCAGCCCAGCATCTGTGAAAAACATACCGCACGTTGACATTTATTACAGCTGAATACATAGCGGTGCCGACAGTAGAGTGCATAAGCCGAACACGTCTAAGAAATCAGAGATACGGGATTCGATTAAATTCTTCGCAGTGCCCGCCCTTCCTCCCAGGGTAAGAAGCAGGCGACGCCACCTAGCCTCAACACAACCCCAACAACGGTCGTTAGAGCCGCAGCCATAACTGAGCCGTACACAACTAAATACATGCACCGTCGAGCGCGCAACCACATACCCTGATTAATATGTGTGCAAGCGACCTTCGCAATGGACGAAATATTATTATATGGCACGGGAACGCATGATCACAGCGGTGGATATGTTCTCAAGAACATAAGGCGTTGCCATCGTAAAAGACTCCTTTCAATCTGATGCTTCCAGCTCATTCCTTCGTTTGAATCATCACCGTCCAGCGAACATAGGTGCAGAATCGTGTCCGGTTTAACACATATGATTGTGTTTCACATTTGATGGTGATGCTCATACTCAGATATCATACTTCGATACCATACTCAATATTGGAATATCTCTAACAACTGAAGGCGAAGGGTGGATGCTGGGATATGCAGGCAAATCCCGACATCGGTATCCCAGAAATCCGGAATTGAATTAAACCCCAGCCCTGAAAGTCATATTTTTCCAACTCGTGGGCACATTATCGCGCAAGTTTTTACAGGGCACTTCTGTAACATTGTGAGGCAAGCCTAACTGTGGGAGACTGATGTAAATATATTGCTGGCCAGCGCTTCGTGCCAGTCCTCACCATAAAATACCACCTTGCACTAAGTGGTCACACCCATGCATCATGGCTCAGTTCTACGCACACTTTCCCCGCCTGCCACACGGTATGGGTGCGCGGGCCCAGAGGAGTTCGTTTAGCGTTCACTGCAGAACACCCCCGGCACAGCGCACCAGAAAGGGAAAAATACGCTTGCTGCACATGTGTAATTTATCAATGGTCATATTCAAATTAGAATGGTTCTAGAACCTACTCCGATGCTTTCCAGTTCCAAACACGGCAACTTGCCTTGGAAATAGCCTGAACAATGAATTAAGATCAAATGCGCATTTTATCCAATTCAGATTTATGCGTGCAGTCATTTACAAACACGTGAAGGAACCCCATCTTAAGGCCACAGAGTCCCACCCTCTTTGGCCCGTACCAAAAACCCACCCCTGAGTGCCCACGGTGCGGAGCACCTCGAATGACCGAACTCCACGGCCTACGTAGGGTTTGCGCCGGGTTGACATAAGCCTTTCCGTTGTGCACGCGCACCGCTGTGGCGCCTGGAACACCTGATTCGGATTTTTTTCATCGCTCGACGGCCGGCCTCGGGTTTGCCAAACTGAGTTTGCCAAATTACACACACACACACACACACACACACACACAACACACACACACACACACACACACACACACACACACACATATATATATATATATATATATATATATATATATATATATATATGCGTATGTATGTGTGTGTATAGGAGTCATTAAATGGATAAAATCCCAAAATAAGCAAGCCAGCGCTGGGCCGACCCCCAAAATTTGGGTGAAATGCAAGTCTGATGCTAATCCATACAGCCCAAAAGCAATATTCCATCATCAGCGCACTATCCGGATGTCATTTTCTTCCACAAGGCCTGCAATCCAGGATATATCCATATCTTGCTCACCCGGCAGATACCACTGCTGTAATTAAGGTGCGAAAGTTTCTCCAGGCACGTTTCCAAACCCCTTTCCCATACTTGATCCGGGATCCCCAAATGGTGGAGGTGTTCTACTCCCATTAATAACACATAAATCCATAAAGTTCACCCCTATGCACCCCATTTCCGATGCTTGAGCCTTGGGTTATCCGCCTGCGGTGCTTAGTATCCATGCGTACCAAACTACGCGGCCTTAAGCATAGACATGCTTTTAGTGTGTGTCAATCGTAGAGCCAGTAACCGCGGTGTCAATCGATACTAAACACCATTTCCCTCTTAGTAAGAGTTCGTACTAAATATTATCGCGGATGTGTTGGTTTGTACGCTGGGCACCAAGCAAGACTGGGGAGACTTGTGAGTGGGGAAGCTCCGTGGATTATCGGGGAAATAGGTATACGTTGGATAATTTCCCTCGACCGAACGGACCCCAATTGGGAAGGGCTTTCCGCCCTAGTTATGCGATTGATGCTTCATAATTTAGTATTTTAGGTGTAGCAAGTAATGGCGAGGAAAACGCCGCGGCGAAGGTGGCGAGAGCCGGTTTTCGTGAGCCTTGCCTTCGCTTGTGCAGATATTTGTGTCTATCGGACGGCGTTTCTCGGTAATACTATTTGTGTGGTGTTGCACGAAGCATTTTTAGGGTAAGACCTTGGGAAAGAGTGAGCGCCAGTTTGCTTCTGTGAGGACTTCAGTTCTTTTGATGTGTCTTCTGGTATGTTCTGTGGCAATGTAGTCAGAAGATAACATGGGTGTTGGGATTGGGAATACGCTAGTCTGCAAGACGTGGCAGACCGGTCTACGTGATATTTGGGGCAGGTCTGATGCTGCATGAATTGGGGAAGTCAACTTCTCAGCTTGAGGCAGGGGCTGATGGCATTGTGACCTGGGATCTCCAAGATTTTAATCATGACCTAATTTGCACCATGTGACTTCTAATTAGGCACCCCTATTAGGTACCCGGATTTGGTGCTCTGTCCGAGATGGGTTAACATCACTTTTGCCCTGCATATACCACATACAAAGTTGTTTCATCTTGTTTTGAATTTACAGCATTCATAGCATTCATCAACTGACAATGTGTTGTGTGGCCAGTTGCAGCTGGCTTATCTGTTCAGTGCAAGCAGTGAAAGCTGGTGCAATTAAATTGCTTCATACTTATGTGATAGCTTTTGTTCTAGCACTTCAATATCTTTGATACATTTTACTGGTTTTGATTTAACACATACATTAAATTTTTTAATAATTAACACATACATTACATTACACATAACACATACATTAAATTTAATTTAATTTTGTGGATTGGGAATGCAGCTATCAAAAGTCTGATGTTATGTGTTGATCCAGGTCATACTTGATGGCCAGGTAATGCAACCAAGAAATCATTGATTCAGCTGATCTGTCCTAGGCCTTTCCTGAATTTTGGCAAGGAATTGGTGCTTAAAGAACATTTATGTATGCTCTATACTGAGTATTGGTCATCGCCTGTGTCCTAGTCTGAGTCTTCAACTTATGAGATATTTTGGACAGGGTCTCATTTTGGATACAAATATGTTTATAAGGCACCTCCATGTTGTGAGTTATATGATGTCTATACCAATACATGATAGCACAATACAATGTATACAATATATCAAAATTACATGAAAGCCAGTAGATAATAGTTAAAATGCACACAAGAAAAGAAATGACAGACATCCACACCCAATGCAAAGCATAGACAACATGAAAAAATATGAAGTCAGTTGATATTGTCTGAACATTAGGTACATCATGATAGCTTTGTTAGTGAAACTATATTTGGGTAGTTTGTCATATTTTCAGCAATGAATCATTAAGCAACACATTTTAATGGAGCTGTTGGATATTTGCTGACTCTTGGTCAGAAGCTTTAGCAAAGTCACTAGGTTGATGTTCTGGTATTCCTACCATGTTATTAGATAGTTCACTGCTGCTGAGCACAACAATTAAATGCATGCTAAAATTTTGCACCAAGCTGGAAATAGCACTCTATATGTAAATATCAGTACTTTGTAATATTTTATGTTCATTCATGTGAATTTCACTTCATGATGTAAGTGAACAAACATGAGAAGGACTGGGCATGAGGGGAGATAGTGTTCATGTGGCTTGTATCATTTTCCATGACTTTATTTGCATGCTGCCCATTTCAGTCTCTAGTCTTGTAATTATGTGTTCCTTTTTACAGACTACACTTCCAACTGAAGAGCAGCTTTTTGTAAAATCAAAATGCTTGTTAGAGGAACCATTCATTTTCTGGTAAGTAATGGACACGTGTTTTCTGATGTATTCAATTTCACTTATTTTATATGAGAGTAGGCGTGCTGTCTGTAATAGAATGTCGTTTAACAACTGCCATTTAAAATCAACAGAGGCTCTTGCAACAAAGGCTCAAAGAACAAAAACAATGCATTGCAAGCCTTATGCTAACTTTGCACCAAGACTCATTAAAGAATCCATGTATTGTGCTACCATTCACAGTCATACTAAAACACAATTTGTGATATTTGTTGGGGCCCATGGTTTTATTCACCAGAGAATAAACACAATTTTCTTTGAAAACTGTCAAATTATACCAGACATTCAGTGGTTGATGCTACTTCCATCAACAATAATTTTATTGTGTTATGAAAATGCATGTGTACTCCACCCAACCATTTATATTTTGTCATGCAGTTTGATGTATGTGCCAACATGTAAAGATCCATTCTCTGATGCTATGGATGAAATAGGTCCAAGGTCCCTCACTGTGATGTCCGGAGTATCCGTTAAAGTGGCCGGCCCTCCCGCAGCGCGGCTGCTCGCGGCCGCTCAGCACGAGCGCCACCTGCCGGGCGCAGGTGATGGTGCGCGACGCGCTGAACGGCGCCATGGACGAGGAGATGGCGCGCGACGAACGCGTCTTCCTGCTGGGCGAGGAGGTGGCCCAGTACGATGGCGCCTACAAGGTGTCGCGCGGCCTCTGGAAGAAGTATGGCGACAAGCGCGTCATGGACACGCCCATCACCGAGTCCGGCTTCGCCGGCATCGCCGTCGGTGCCGCCTTCGTGAGTGCGGGAGGTAGTCGGAGGCGGCGGCCGACGCTGATCTGGGTCGTACGCTTATGATCTGCACGGGATATCGGGTCTGTCATGCAGCAACGTTTTTGGGCAGTGGGAATCTTGAACTAGGCATATGTCTAATATGCCCAATATGCCCCACATGCCCCAAGCCTTTTTGCAGCCAGCCCTGCGAGAATGGGCCGTTGTATCGAATGCATTAAAAATACTTATTTCGGTTGGTATCTGTGGTCTGATGGTGCATAACAACCAAAACGCTGCATGTATTTGGCCATGTTTTTGTTAAACAGTTACTTGGCATGCCTCATCACACCACATTTCCAAAGCTGGCTATTGACACTGGCTGTATTCCTAACTATGCGTTCTTCATTTCGTGACGTGACCCTTTTCAGGCGGGGCTGCGGCCAATCTGTGAATTCATGACTTTCAACTTTTCCATGCAAGCTATCGACCAGGTGATCAACTCGGCAGCCAAGACCTACTACATGTCTGCCGGCCTGGTATGTCATCTCTCGTCTCGGAGCAATCGCCAGACTCTGCACAAACACAAGTAGCTCTTATGCTCATTGGTTGGGCAATATCTCATGTCCTTTTAGTGGTGATAGGGACGGGGAAATAGTTCGCGGAATATACAAAAATGGCGATCAAGTATGGTGCCCAGCCTCGTGGGCCACACACCCCAGCTTGGTGTTCGCCACGGAGGACGGGATTGTGTTTTCTTCGTCACACCGTATTGCATGCATGGTATTACGCCTTTCAGAGAAAGAGTCGTGTAGCTCACTGCAAACCACGCTCCAACATTCAGGCGCTGTTGTGATTTGGGAGGGCCCAGGGGCCAACCTCCGGATGGTCTAAGGGTCTTAACTCGTTATAGGGGCAGGTGAAAGGACCACCCCTTTGCCCCGGCTTGGTCACGTGCTTGGCTGTGGCTCTGTTGTGACTTCCGGTGCTGTCCTGCCGAGCTTACCACGACCATTGCCCATCGTGCACAGATGAACGTCCCGATCGTGTTCCGCGGCCCGAACGGCGCGGCGGCCGGAGTGGCGGCACAGCACTCGCAGTGCTTCGCTTCCTGGTACTCCAGCTGTCCCGGCCTCAAGGTCAGTGCAGGGCTCGCGGCGACTCCCAGTATTCAAGGCGTCCTGGCCTCAAGGTCAGTCCACATCTCGCGGTGATTCAGGGCACTTCAGCTGTCGTGGCCTTGAGGTCAGTCCAACCTTCGCAGTAACTTTTGACACTCCAGCTTTCTCGGCGTTAAGGCCAGCCCAGGCCTCGTGGTGATTCCCAACACTCCAGCTGTCCCGTTCTTCATAAGCCGTGGAAGCCCATCCCTGCGGAGTAAGCCCATTCCTTACCTATGACATCACGACGGAAGCCCTCTCCTACCTGTGACGTTACGACCCAAGCCCCACTCGACCGAGAGGCGAAGTAAGTGCGTTTGTTTATGAGTAAGACGTCTGTGGTGGCATAGCAACACAAAGCAGCGGTCGATGCGCTGTTGAAGGCATGCAGTTGGGGATGAAAGGTGTCTGGATATCTCAGTAGAGTCTGGATCGTTGCTGCCATGTCGGTTGATCGCCATTAAACCAGGGCCGGTAGCGACCAGTCGAAGTCAGGTTTAACTGACTAAAACAGGCCGTCAAAAAACTGCCGGTGGCATAAGCTGCCATAAACCACGAAATTTCAGATACTATAGTAATTGCTTCTTCGGGTTATGCAACTCTAAAACAGCTTAAAAGTACAACTAGCGCATGCATATGCATGTACGATGTACAAATACGTATAATAAATGCGCACAATACGACTAATACACTTCTCAGAACAAAATGTGGCTTCCTCGACAGAACAAATATCGTGAGCTTTATCATAGGTTGACGACACTCGTTGTTTCGACGTTTGCCTGTGTTACCTATTTCCACCATATTTGCGGCCGACTCTACAGCACCAACTTGCAGTGAAGTGGACGGACTTCAATCAGTGTTGATCGTAGCCATCGTTTTCATGTTTGCCGGAATCTAGTTTCATCTGGCCAAAATGTCATTTTTGCGTCAGCCCACGGGTACTTCGTTCTCGCCGACCTTCCTACGCCTCTTGCGATATCTTGGCTATGGGTGCATGCAGCCCGCCTAGTGATGATAATCACGAACTTCCCTTTCGAAACCACGTTTTACGATCACACATGTTGCCTGCTGCGTTCGGCTAGCGGGCGCGCCGTGATCGTCTTCTGGCCCCGTGACAAACGGCGCTGCGCCACTGCCGCCGCAGGTCGTATCCCCGTACAGCTCCGAGGACGCCCGCGGTCTGCTCAAGTCGGCCATCCGCGACCCGGATCCGGTGGTATTTCTGGAGAACGAGCTGATGTATGGCCTGCCGTTCGAAGTGAAGGAGGAGCTGCTGAAGGACCGCGACTTCCTGGTGCCCATCGGCAAGGCCAAGATTGAGCGCGAAGGTGCGGCATAATGGCGGTGTGGCAGATGTCTATATGCAGGGGCTGAATTGTTGGACTGTCTTTTGTTTATAGCATGTTCACAGTGTGAAAGCCTTTTGCGATATGTGCACAATGATCTATTTCTATTTCAGAAACTCAGCAAACGGTTGTGTATTTTGCTTGATGGCGGAGTTGATCAATGACTTGTGCCGCCGCACAGTCTGAGCCGTGTCCATGGCAGCACCAGTGACTTGTCGGCGGCGCCATACCACGAGCAATGCATCCCCGGCCCTGTGAGGTGGCATTCGGCGCCCGCGGTGACCGGCCCCCGGCTCACAGGCTCGCACGTGACGCTGGTGGCGTTCTCGCGTCCGGTGGGCATCTGCCTGGAGGCGGCCGAGCAGCTGGCTGCCCAGGGCATCGAGTGCGAGGTGATCAACCTGCGCACGGTGCGGCCGCTCGACATGGCCACCGTCGAGAAGTCCGTCACCAAGACGCACCACTGCCTGACTGTGGAGCAGGGCTGGCCGCAGTGCGGCGTCGGCTCCGAGATCTCCGCCCGCATCATGGAGTGTGAGTTGCCGTGGCCACGGGCGCGGCGAGGCGCACCAGGCACCCCAGCTCGCTTCAAACAGCTGCCGCGCATGGTATAGTGTCCTCGACCGTGGTTGGGGGAGTGGGGCCGGGCAGTTTCGATTGACCGTATTCTGTGCGTCATGACAAGCGGCACTGTAAATTGCAGGGTCATATTGTGGTCCCCGATCTCTTGAGTCAGTGATCAGGTCCCCTTCGGGAAAACGGCTGTCGCATGTTTCTCACGTAGGCTACCATCGTTTAAAACTACTGGACAAATACCGATGTGGATAGACGAAATAGGAAAGAATGTACGAAATATGGATGTTACAGAAGACAATGTCGAACTTTCTGAACTTCTTTGGGTCATTCGTTGCTGCCATACATGTGAGCATGTTTTCATTCGTCCAATCATCTGGTCTTCAATGGCATGTCACAGTACATTGTACGCCTGTCCCACATGTGTACTATGTCGGTAATTCGAAAATCGTAGACATGCCTGGGGATTGCGCCTGCTGGGTTCGCGGTCTTTCTGATGCGTGTTTTTGTTGCGCCTTTTATAATTGCATTTGATTGCGCCAGCTGCCCTACACGGCGTGCCGTAGGCGACGTGGTCGCCCATTGACACCCTGTCATGCTTGGTGCCGACTTATCATGTTTGTGAGGCAGGTTTCCAGCGACTTCGTATAGGGTTTTCCACGATTCCGGTGCCCGTGCGCTGCCGCTCGGTCAGTGTTCTTGAGCGCTGTCCCAGTGCGCGGCGTGCGGAGCCTGACCAGCTGGCGTGACCTGTCCCGATGCTCTCCACGCGCAGCTCCGGCCTTCTACGAGCTGGACTACCCGGTGACGCGGCTGTGCGGCGCCGACCTGCCGATGCCGTACGCCAAGAGCCTGGAGGAGGCCGCCCTGCCCACCGCCGCCGACATCGTCGCGTCAGTGAAGAAAGTCCTCAACGCGTCGTGAGCTGGACCTGCTCGAGGTTTCGGGGACGGCAGGCGTGGCCGCCTCCACCGTGAAGCGCACCCGGCCCCGGCCCCGCACAGCAGCGCTAGGCCCGTGTGGTGGTGGTACCGGTGTTACTGATCGTGTCTGAGCGTGTTTTATGTTTGGCAGAATGTACGGGGGGGGGGGGGGGGGGGGGGGGCAGAGTGTACGGGGAGACGCGGCGTCCTGCTAGTTTGGCCATGCGCAACACCCAGCTTACTTCAGCGGGCCCTGAGCTTGGCACGAACGTTTTGACGACGAGTGGGTTTTTCTCAGGTGGGCGCTGACGGTGCAATAGCGCGCGAACCTCATAGTGGAGCTCACTGCTTCTGACGCGTGTCATGCGGTTGATGTGGTCATGTGGTCCGGGTCATTTGGCCGTGATATCCGTGTTGTATACAGATCGAGTCTGCGCGTTCTGTGGTTTTCTTCAATGCCGTGATATTCAGGATGTCCGGGCACGATATAGTGGTCGTACTGCATGAATACCGGGACCAGTCATGGCCGTACCCGCAGCAAAAAAACAAAACAAAAAAACAAGAACAGATTCATCAGTCTCCAGAAACCACCACTTGTTTAAAACCTGCGCCACGTATCAGTCTTCAGTAACCACCACTCGTGTAAAACCTGCCCCACGAATGCTGGCCATCCACAGGGTTACAAAGGGCATATAAAAAACAGTGGGTCAGAATCAGGGCGTCAGAATTCCTGAACTAGTGGTTATGATTAACGGGGATTGTCTGCCGGTCGGCTGCCGTGGCAATATTGCTACCACTAACTAGCGAAGCTAGGATGAAAGGCCAGCGGGACCGTTCCCTTCCCGCGATAATTGCACATTCGCCCTTGCGTTGATTCGCTGAGCCCTGGCTAGTCTTCCACACTTCGACGCACTTTGCTGACGACCCGTGCAAGTAAACTCAAGCAATGGTAGCAAACCAGAGCGTTGATGTAAAATCCCGTAACAGCCGTGTTCCGCAGCAGTCCTTGGCCGTCCCGGAGTCCAGTCCTCGAGCCCCCCCCCCCCCCCCCGCTCCGAGCCGACAGACGGCCCGTCGACCGCAGGTGGTGACGCCGCCCAGGCCCACCCGCCTTCAGCGCGGGCACATGGCGTGCCGGCCGCCGTCCACGGGCAGCGAGGCGCCTGTGATGAAGGCAGCCCCATCCGACGCCAGGAACGCGATGGCGGCAGCCACCTCGTCCGGCTGGCCGGGCCGGCCGAGCGCGTGCGTGGTGCGGCTCCGCTCCAAGAACTGCTCGTAGGCGGCCTCGTCCAGACCGCCGCGCTTCTGCAGCTCCGTCACCGTCACGCCTGGGTTGACGCCGTTGACGCGCACCTGGTGCGGCGCCAGCTCCAGGGCCAGGCAGCGCGTCATATGGTCCAGCGCCGCCTTGGACATGTTGTAGGCCAGCAGGTTGGGAAAGGCGCGGATCCCGTTCACGCTGGAGACGTTGACGATGTTGCCCTGCGCCGCCACCAGGTGCGGCACGGCCAGCATCGTCAGGTGGTACACGGCGCGCACGTTGATGCCCATGAGGCGGTCGTATTGCTGCAGCGACGTGGTCTCGACACTGCCCAGCTCGAGGATGCCGGCGCAGTTGACGAGCACGTCCAGCCGGCCATACTTCTGCACCGACTGCTCCACCAGCCGCTCTGCATCTGGCTCACGCGTCAGGTCGCCAGTGATGGTCAGCAGCGGCTGGCCGCGGCCCGCCTCCGCGCACTCGCTGGCCACGCGCTGCAAGTTATCGGCGCGTCGGCCCGCCAGCGCCAGTGTGGCGCCACGGCCGGCGAGCAGGCGCGCTGTGGCCGCCCCAATGCCTGATGAGGCGCCTGTCACCAACACTACTTTACTGCTGAAGGCCATCACTAAGGCTTGGTGTTCTTTTGACCTGCAACAAGGGATCAATTACAAAAATACTACTTTCTTAATCGTAAATCTCTGATAGTTAACTGAAATTAATATCACAACTTTATATAAATACAGATAGCAGACACAATTTCAGCACCCGTGTGCTGTAAATCGCGAGCACTCAGAATTTGGCTCAGAGTCAGCACTTTATCACCATATGGCGCAAGGTTGCCAGGCCACCATATGACAACGTGGATTAATTTTTTGAAGGCTGGCTCCCATCCAACAGTCCTGAAATCAAACGTGCGTGACTATCATGAGCAGGGCATGGACCAATATGTTACATCCCTCAATTGCCAGGTGGTGACGACACACTTGACACTACATATGGAGATTTGTTAGCAAGATATGGCATGTTACAAGACCTCGCCGGGGCAGGGTAGGGGTAAGGGTAAGAACGAAGTTTTAGAGCAGGTTTTGGAAAGTTTGGGCGGAATTTTGCAAGTAGGGCAGCTCATCTTTTTGGTGGTTTAGGGTAGCTTGTGGTACCTTGAAGCAGCCATTATGTATATCGACGCAGATTTGTTGAAGAATTGCGCAGAAGTAAAGGAAATTGTAGCAACAGATTGACATATTTCACGGCGCGACACGCATTCCACGCGTTTTAACAAGTGAGCCTCTTCACTGGCCCTTCCGCCAGACTCCTCGGACGCAGCGAGTCCTTTGTATGGTGTCCGTGGTAGCGGTGGCCTTGGCTCAGCTGGCATGTCGGCGACCCGCACGGTGGATGGATGCCGGGCCGCTTCATCGCAGCAACGGAGAGAGCAGTCCCGGGCCCCGCTGCTCGGCACGACCTTGCAGTGTTGTGTGATGTCATTAAGTCTTGGAAAGTCTGAACTAGAAAAAGCCAGAACTCCTAGCCAGTGAGGAACAAGCTGCAATTTTTGCCAATTTACGCAGGAAAACATCTTGACTCAAACGAAATTATCTCATCCTGTACTGAGTACAAACCCCAAACAGGAGAATGAGCATGTCATGATAAGGGTCAGCAAGGAAAGAATGGATATTTAATGGAAGCCGATTGGCGTTGGTGTTGTTGTTGGGCGGTTGTCTTGATCATTGATAAACCGGCCGCACGGGGAGGAAGTGATTATCAATGGGATGCTGCAGCGATGACGTAGCGGAGGAGTGCGCTCGAATAGGCACTAGTGGGCGGCTTGCATGTGACCGATGCGGGGTCTGGCAAGCAGCACTTCCTTGGGGCGATTATCTTCATTAATTTTCGGCCAGTATTGTAATATGAGCTCGATTGTGTGCAGATGGTGATAAGCGCGCTGACCTCCATCAAACTGGAGAAAGAGACGAAAATGTAAATTGATGACTGCAATAATAGCGGAAAGGGGACGCGAGCGATGATTACATCCCAGGAACATGATACTTTGTTCTCTGTAATGAGACGCCAAGTGTTTCACCACACCTTCTCTGTATTTTAGTCTCGCACCGTCAGGGGCTGCAGCCCCTGACGGTGCACCTGCACTCGCTGCTCTCCCAACGGCGACTCCCCGACAGCGGGGGCCGCGAGCCGGGACCGTGCGAACGAGCCGGGACCGTGCGAACTGCGGCGGCGGCGCGCATCTGCCGCGCGGCCGGGGCCGGACTGCGAACCTGACCACGTGCCGTGCCCCGTCCCAGCAGGGGCGCAGGACACATACAACTGCACTACGAGCACCCCACCCTGATCCTAATGATGAACAGGTACACAATCGCACGGCCCCGGCTCGTTCGCACGGCTTCGGCTCGCGGCCCCCGCTGTCGGGGAGTCGCCGCTGGGAGAGCAGCGAGTGCAGGTGCCCCGTCAGGGGCTGCAGCCCCTGACGGGGCAAGACTAAAATACGGAGAAGTTGTGGTGAAACACTTGGAGTTTCATTACATTTTCCTTCCTCATCAGCGACGCCGCTTCCATAAATATTGGCGTATCCCGTTATCTAAAGAAATACTGCGTGAGTTTGTTGAGGAAGGGAGCAGAGCGTTCCACGCATGTCGTTTATAATCGGATGGGATGAGTTACGAAGAGTGCTGAGCGCTTGTCCCGACGAATGAGAGCCTGTGCATGTGACTGTCTTTTGCATACTACCTTGACGCGAGGCGGGGCTGTTAAGATTGTTGTTAGTTCAGCCGTATGCACAGTGCTGAAATTTCACAAGCGGCTTGATTTACTGTCATTGTGATGTACGAAGGCGGCTCCTGTGCAGCCATCACCCCGGCAGCCGTCAGTATAAATAAAGGTGTGTTGGTCATATTCTCCTTCGGACTGAGCGACGAGTTGCACTTCGGTTTCTGATACGTTTCGTTTTTTGTGTTTAAAAAGAAAGATTACGTTAGGTATGGGGTCGCCCCAAAAGGGTCGGGGACTGGGAGTTGGGTCGTATGGATGTCCGGGAGATTACGCGTTCGTTGCGCTCGAATAACGCGAGTGTTTATCGTTGATGCTGAAGTTCCGCGTTGGTAACTGTGCGGCTGGGGCCGAGGCATGCGAGAGTGCTGTATGTGGGGTTACCAACGTGCGCTGTGACGCGTGCGTAAAATCTGAGAAGTTGTAATTTTCGTCCGTGTGGTAGGGAGGGGATATTCGTGTGCGCTAGCAGATTTGGGACCGGGGAGGTGCGAAGTGCACCAGTCACTATACGGAGGGCTGCGTTCTGTATTGTCTTCAGGGTTTCGACTTATTTGGAAAAATATAAAAACGAAAAACATGATAGTCCAAGATCGGGCGTACCAGGGAGGTATAGAAGCGGAGGAGAGTGCGTCTGTCGCCCCCCCCCCCCCCCCCACTCCCGTCCTGCTATGCATTTTATTATGTTCAGTCGTCTGGCGCACCATTGCTTAAGATCAGCAAAATGCGCATTGGAAGTGAGACAGCGATCTGATGTTATTCTAAGGTATTAAAACTGTGAACCGGAAGGATTATTTCACCATTAAGATCCAGGGGGTGGGAGGTTGAACATCATTTCGCCTAGAAAAGACAACTACCGCTGACTGTTGTGTGTTGGTTGTGTTTGAACAGAAAGCGTATGTTCGATATAAGGCGGCCCAAAAAAGCTCACAGGCTCGGAGTCAGGTTACAAGGAATGTGTGGGAGATCAAATGCTCGTTGCGCTCCGGAAGCATAAAGACCAGATGTGTCACATTGTCCCAGCGGTGTCAACGCCGTCTAAATTGCTGTCTTCTTATCCTTATCGCTAGTTAGATTGTCTTGCTTCTTATCATGTTAAGCCATGCATGTTGCTACCAGCACAGCCCCTGCAGTCAGAGATCCGCCAATAAATTGAATAAATTGAAGTGCTTCAACGACAGATCTCGAGCAAAATCTTGTGCAAGTACCAAGCTTTTTATTAATACCAGTTCACGCAGTTGCTTAGAATAGGTGGACCAGCTGTAAACAGTCGCATACCAGCAATGCGCGCGGCAGCTTTTAAGTCGCGAGCTTTTATTCTTCACATTATGAAATGTTGATGCATTTTTTGAAGGGAATGTTTCACGTTTGAAGATATTGAAGTAACATGAG